AACAAGATCTGGGACGCGTGGTAGTTTATTTGTTAGTTCTTGGAACGGATGGATCAATTCAGACAGTAAAATATTTCAGTCAACAATAATTATTATTGAAAAGTTAAGGGTATTCAAGTAGGTTTAGCGTCGCCATAAAGTCGTTGAGAGACTAGTGCCTCTTGTCATCGGGAGCAATAAATTTGCAAAGTCGTCCTTCGGAGAAGGCCTCATGAAATTTAGCAGTGTTTTTGAACAAGTTGACTTAGACCGTCGGGGCCATGTGTTGGGCATCTGGGAGCGACAGTTTAGCCCATGGTGAAGGGAAAAATCGATATTTCTAATAACGCACGAAATACATTCGAAAAGGCGTAGGAATTCCAAGGTACTTAAATAAATTGTTAGAATGTCATGAGGAAAAAAATAATAATGGATCAAATAGCTGGTTTTTAGGCGGATTTTCCAAGTTATAAAATGAGACTGACTAATCTGTCCCGTGTTGCTATACGGAGTGACAAGAGGAAGGTGTAAGGTTACTTGTAAGTTCAGGTAGTTACAAAATTATCCATACAATTATAAATTCAGTCAATTAGGTATTAACATGGTATAGTTAAGCCATTTCAACCCCCAATATTCAGGGAGGCAGCCAATAAGATAAGAACCGAAACTTCTGTACCCAAGAAATGGGCGTGTCGAAGCGAGGTGTCGAATTCAGGAGAGATCTTCGAAAAAAAGGCAGTTTCTCCTTGGGTTCCACACTGGGCAGTTTTTTAAATTTTAGAGTGGGTTAATTTAATAACGGACAAAGTCTTCCTAAATTTTGCTATGAATTCGCATTGGGTTCTCTGAATCTCGGATTGTGTTGTCGCGTATAAATTAATCGATAATGTTTATTCGAATCCACTGAGTCTTCGTTATTTTGTTCGTTTTTTTTAATTGTTATTAAAACCGTTCGTAGGAAGGTGTTTTCTTGTTCTTCCAACTTAAGTGTGACCCTATACAACCAACCACTGGATTACATTCTACATGAACGACGTACGGAAAGTGTCTGGAATTCATTCTCTGAACGTACAACGTACTTCTTTCGAGAAGTTAATAGTAAACTCTTTTGAAATCCGGTAGATAGATAATTAAAGAAATAACCCCCAGGTTACATAACGCTAAGCAAGTGGAGTGTAAGTCTGTAACTGTTGGATTTGTTCACTTGCAGATTGTAAATATAGCCAGTTGAATTATGGTTGGTGTCAGCGGTTCCAAACATGTTTCTTCGTATCATTGTGGTAAGTCAGTAAGTATTAAAAAAAATCGTTTTCAAAAAATATTTATACCAATTAAGTTTTTCAAATACCTTCTCCAAATTTGTAAACACCCTGTGTGCGTCTTTGTGTAGTCGGCTTTTCAGTTAACTGATTTGTTTTGTATGTCACACACATCCTGTACATTTTACTGCAGAATTTTAAATTTCGGTTGTAATTTATGCCACGTCCTGCCTTTTCGCTACAAAACAAAGTGTCCAAACAGGATCTGAAATAGGTATTTCTTTTCGCGGTGCGAGCAATTACATTTTAGAGGTCGCAAACTACAACCGACACACTAGAACAACGTATAATTAAGCCAGTTAACCTTTTTAGACCGACCTACCGTAATTTTCGTAACGATACTTAGTTTTTAATTGTCGATAGGTGCAAGGTGTTATCGCATATTAAACATTTAGGTTTTTTTTCGCGGAGCCGGTTCGATTCAGCGCTAGTTTTCCTTGTTTTCGAGCACAAACCAATTATAGGTGCAATTAGAGCCTAACGGGTGTTACGAAATCCCGATTCATATGTGGACAAGACCTTGTTTCTTATTCGCCGAATGGGTAATTAGTTCAGAAATAGATATTAATCAATTTATGTGCCTTAAGCTGCTACGTGCAGCGTTCCCGGCTGTTGGATTTGCGGCATTCCGATTTGAACAAAGGCATGGCGTATCCGAGGCAAACGATCGAAGCTGCCAGAAATTAATAAAGGTATACGGAGTGAATTGAAATAAGGGCGTCCACAGCCTTCAGTATAGTAGCAAAAAGATCAATCCAGGCCTTGCAAGGAACTTAAACAAGTAACAGGATACGATGCAGCACGATAATTTATTCGAAAAAGTAGTTGAATCGAACCAAGGGTTCACACAGTACGGTAGTTTTGTCGAATATCACCTCTCGCGACTGCGACAGAGTACTATCTATGGTCTTCGGTATCTAATGATGAGAACAAGCATATACAGGGTGATTCAGGTTTAATCTGGATAATATCAGGAATCGATAGAACAGGTTAAAATAATGTTCATTCATGATAGAAACTTAGTTCTAGTTTCGGAGATGGAGGACATTGAAATATAATTTTTTTTTCGCTTTTCCCTCATAACTTTTGATCCACTCATCCGATTGAGGTGAAATTCGGAACATAACTACTTCTTATGATCTTACATAAGCTTCTTATGTTTGAACCACTTACCCCTCTTTAGCCTGTATCAGACAATGCAATTTTGTTGCAGGGATTTGGTTGTCGCGATAGAATCCATGAGATTTTTCTTATCAGACTATGCAATTATGTCCCGGCAACTGAATTGAATTAGAACATGCTCTATTCCGTGCAACAAAATTGCATGGATTCTAGTTACTTTTATGAAGATTTGTTTATTACCAACCTAGCTGTTGTTGGCTGTTGAACATGGTTGTTGTTAGTAACCCCGTTGAAGCCACTATTAAAGCTATACAGCAATTTACTTTTAAAATTTTCATCCATTGCAATGTTGTGCTTGAATAAAAAATAATTGTTTACAAGATACATACAAGGAATTTTACATATTGTTAAACAATGCACAGTTGGTAACACTACTACAAACTAAACAAATTGCAGCAATTCTGTCGCATTGTGTGATAATAAGCATGCAATTTCATCCCCGCAATTTTGTCGCTGCAACTATATTGCATTGTCTAATACAGGCTTTGGAAGTGTATTTTGTGTGCTACCCCTCTCCTTTCAAAACTTAAAAAAAAAATAATTAATTTTATTAAAACAGCTGTACACCACTTTTGTCTCATTAATTTTGAAACTTTTCGTCTTTTGTTTTTTTTTTCGATATTTGGTCTCGTTTTTGAGATATTCAATGAAATCCGAGACAGTGTAGCGCCCCAGCCACGTAAATTTCATTAACGTTATAGCAACCCACGAAAAACTCAATGGTTTGTATAAACTGACATTTGTGAAAATCATCGTTAAAAGTATTATTTCAAAAGTATTTTTAGTGCTAAGACAAGAGAAAAATGTCCTACTTCAACGCCCTCTATCTCCGTAACGATGCGATTTAGGAAATATATATCATGAATGAACATTATTTTAACCTGTTCTATCGATTCCTGAAGTTATCCAGATTAAACCTGAATCACCCTGTATACTCCAATCGAATTAGTGTTTGAACGTAAGAAAATTATTAGTCGACATTTTGTTGCATTTTATGACGCATATAAGTGGCAAAATTATGTTTTTTCACTATTTTTACTGCCCATGAATATCTAGACAACCGGAAAATTAGTCACTTTATGTTGTAGGCAATTAAATTAACTACAATTTAAGGTATCTAAAGTCATATTTTACCAATTTGTTAATTGTAAAATAAAGGTCAAACGCGGAAAAACCAGTTTTCGAAAATTGCGCTTTATTTTTGCAAAAAGCGATGGATGTTGATGAAATTTATGAAAAAGGCGGTCAAATCCAAAGACCAACAAGTGTGCCAACGGCCGATTCGATTGACCTTGAAATTGTTGCTCCAGGTATTTTTAAATTAATTTGGTTCGTCTTACTGCAACTAGTTTAATTACTAAACGTTACCTTTAGTAGTTAATATCGTAAATATAGGTTCTAATTGTTGCAAAAAAAAGTATAGAAAATTTCAAAAAGTTGAAATTAAGTTGCCCTTTACAACTAACAAAGTAGCACATGGAAAACAGCGTTATAAACAAATTGTTCCAGGGCCAGGCAAAAGCTGCTCGGGAATTTGCTCTTTTTGCATTAAATAGAGCTTATTTTTACGGTAATTTTAAAAAAGATAAGTCGCCTACCCCTCTTTGTTCCCAATACAGCTTTTTTATAACGTAAATAATTTACATTATAAGTTTTAATATAGGGTATACAAAATTCAGTACATTTTCCATGTAATATCACAAAACTTATATACTCAAATGACGAACAATATTGACAAACACATTCCAGCTTCACAAATCGTCCAGCCAAATATTGTATCATTTTACTTCTGCATTACATAATTGTTTTGCCTGGTATTTTCAGATTTATGATAGAAAAAAATTGTTTAGAGATATCGGAGAATTTGTTAACAAACCTGAAAATTAGTGACACATTCATTATTTTCTTGGTTTAATATTTTATCAAGTATGTATATTACTAACAAACTACCAAGAACCTACTAAATATTTTAGATATATAGATTCTTTATAGGAATACACACAATACACATACAGTTGTTTTAGTGAAAAAAACTGGAGTTTTTCAGTAAAATTTTAAATAATTTTTAACACAGTTTTAAAAAATGTTATTATATACAGGGCGTTCCATTAAAAATGGAATGGAAACAGAGCAGCTATAGGTCGTCAAAACAATTACGGTGTTTTGTCTGAAATGTTTCTTTCAATTTCTTGCAATTGCTCAAGAACAGTTATAGTACAGTCGAATTAGATTATAAACCCTGAAAACTTAAAAAATATCTTAGTAGACATTTTATTATACATACTTTATGAAGGTAAAAGGTATGTAGAATGATCAAATGAAAAAAGTAACTCTCAAGGAGTGACGCTAAGTTGGCAAATTGCNTTTTTTTAATAAATTAATTAATTATTATTTTTATTTATTTATTTTTTCCTCCCAACAATTCTACATTTTAGATTATTTACTTTTACATATTCTTTATACAATGGGTCTTATGATTATTTACAATATGTTGTTATTATTTGGTTAGACCGCTGCAACTCAGATTCTAATACTGGATCTTTTGATGAATCCAAATATACTGTTGAATATACTTAAATTGTCTGAAGCCAGTAATGTAGTCAGATTGAATGGAGCTTCTGCTTTTAACTTATATATTTCTTCTAAAAGTAAGTCTCGGTGTGTTATGTGTAGTGGGCATTCTAGTATTATATGTTGTAAGTCTCCTATTTCACCACATAAACAGTTTGGATTATTAGTTTGGCCAATTTTATGTTGGTATTTTGGATATAAAGCATGGTTTGTTCTTAGTCTGGTTATGGTTTTTATGAATTGTCTGTTTACTAGGTTGTGAAACCATGTCTTTTGTCGTATGGTTGGTTGTATTTGTTTATAGACGGCTCCGGAGAGGGAGTCTTCATAGATATTTTGCCACTTTAATTTGAGGTTTCTTCTAAATATCGGAGTTAAGTCGGATGGTGGTAACATGCTTTCAGTTGTTGTTCTTCCCATTGTAACAGCTGTTTTTGCATAGTGATCCACCGTTTCATTTGATTTGATGCCGATATGGCCCTTTATCCAAACAATTTCTAAATTTTTATTCATTTGTTTCAGTTCTCCATGAACGGACAAAATTTTTGCATAGATTTTGTCGACTTTAGTTATTTTATTTGTAGATCTTAATTTATCTACTAAGCTTTTGCAGTCCGTGAATATTACGTAATTGAAGTGAGGAGATGATTTAGCATATTCCATGGCTTTTTGTACTGCGTACTGTTCTGCTGTGAATATAGATGATTCGTCAGGTAATTTAAACATTTCGTAGTAGTTTTTATTTTCATGATAGAACGCACATCCAGTTTGGTCATCTATTTTGGAACCGTCTGTAAATATATACTCAGAATTTGGCCATTTGTGTTTCGATTCGTATTGGAACAGTTTATTGGTTAAACCGGGAGAATCATATTCGGTTATTTTTAAGTAATGGACCTTTATTTCGTGTAGGAAATCATTGTAACTAATTGTATAATAGGGATCTGCATTTATTGTGTAACAATGGGATGAATTGACTAGAAGACTTTGGTATGAGTTAACCATGACCGGTGATTTTTTTTTTGACCAGTAAGGCGAGGTGAGGTTCAGTATAAATAACTTATGGAGACTGTTTATACACTCGCTTTTCTTTGCGTACAATTTCATGACAAATTTGTCGCTTAGGAATTGTCTTCTTAGTGGTAATGGAGGTTCGCAGGTTTCTACTTCCATTGTGTTTATTGGTGTTGTGTTTAATAGTCCGAGACATAGTCGTAGACATTTGTTTTTAACTATATCTATTTTTCTTAATTGGGTGTCCGAAGCTGAACCATACAAAATGCTGCCATAATCCATGATGGATCTGACTAAAGACTGATAGAATAACAAGGCGGTATTCGGATCCGCTCCCCAAGTACTTTTTGTAAATACTCTAATGATATTTATGGAGTTTTCCGTTCTTTTTATAATTTGCTGAATATGGTCTCTCCAAAGGAGTTTTCTATCCAGAGTGATGCCTAAGTATTTTACTGAATTCTTATGGGCAAAGAGATATGGTCCTAGTTGTATATGCGAAGGCAATATTGTTCTTTTTCTTGTGAAGGTGCACACAGATGATTTGTTCTGAGAGATGCTAAAGCCATTGTTCTCGGTCCAAGTTTTCATGTTATTCATAGATTTACTTAACTCCGTTGAGCATTCGTTGAAGGATTTGTGGTAGGTATATATGCAGATGTCATCAGCAAATTATATTAATTTTACATTTTTCCCTAAGATTGTTTCTAAATCCATAGTATATATTGTGAAGAGTAGTGGGCTGAGGATACTGCCTTGTGGGAGACCAACTGATGTTACCCGAGAGGTGGTTATTGAATTGTTGATTTTTAGATATATACTCCTGTTTACGTACAAATTTCTGAGGTGTAATGTTATTCTTGGTGGAATTCCTAACTTGTTCAGTTTTATTGTCAGCCGATCTATCAGAACATTGTCGTATGCTCCTTTGATATCTAAGAATGTGGCCATTACCGATTGGTTGTTCGTGAAGGATATCTGAATATCATTAGTTAATATTGCTAACGCTTCATTTGTAGACCGTCCCCGTCTGAATCCATATTGGAATCGAGCTAGAAGGTAATTTTTTTCCAGCCAATGTTCTAGACGATTCTTGATCAGTCGTTCGTATGTTTTTAGTGCGCATGACGCAAGTGCTATTGGCCTGTAAGAGTCTGCTTCTTCTAGGGGTTTTCCAGGTTTCCTTTGTGGGATGACGATGTATTCATACCAGTCCGATGGAATAGGTGCTTTTAATAACCATATGGTATTATATATTTCCAGTAGTTCTATTTTACTATTTTCAGGTAATTGAGCGAGCATAGAGTATGTGATATTGTCTTTCCCGGGGGCTGTATTATTATGTTGTTTTAATGCAATATTTAGTTCTGGGAGTGTAAATACCTTTAACAAGTGACTGCTGGAATCTATTACTGACGTGTCGAGATTGGTATTTTCATCGTTTATTTCTGTTGTTTTGTAATTTACCCAAGGAGGGGACAATTTGCAGTGGAAAGATTCTATCCAAATTGCTTCGCTATTTAATGGCATTCTGTTTTCTTTTTTTCTATTTTTATACTGATTTAATTTTGACCATACTTCTTTGATGGGAGTGTTCTTATTTAGGCTTCCGCAGTACTCCTTCCATTTTTGCCTTTTTGTTTCTTTCAGAGTTTTTTTAGCCAACGCGTCTAATCTTTTGTAGTTTGATAAATTTTGTAAATTCGGATTCTCATTATATATCTTGTATGCTTTTTTCCTATCTGTAACTTTATCGTGGCAATTTTCATTCCACCATGGTTTGTATGAATGTGTATTATTTTTCCTTGAGTGGTTAATTTTTGGGATTGATATACCTGCTGCCGTGTTTATATTTTCGATCATTTGATCGTAACTTCCTGCAAATGTTGTGTTCATATGGTTTTGGTACTTAATCCAATCAGCTTTGTCTGTTTTCCAACATTTATGGGTATTGTTTATAATATCATTATTCTGGCCCGAAAGTTGATATTCTATTAATATCGGGAGATGATTGGATCCGTGAGGGTCGTTCATTACTCTCCATGAAAGAAGATGCACGATTTCAGGACTACATAACGTTATATCTATTGCGCTGTATCTATCCCCCGAATAATTTAGTAAGGTTGGAGTGCCGTCATTTANAGGTTTTGTGGTAGGTATATATGCAGATGTCATCAGCAAATTGTATTAATTTTACATTTTTCCCTAAGATTGTTTCTAAATCCATAGTATATATTGTGAAGAGTAGTGGGCTGAGGATACTGCCTTGTGGGAGACCAACTGATGTTACCCGAGAGGTGGTTATTGAATTGTTGATTTTTAGATATATACTCCTGTTTACGTACAAATTTCTGAGGTGTAATGTTATTCTTGGTGGAATTCCTAACTTGTTCAGTTTTATTGTCAGCCGATCTATCAGAACATTGTCGTATGCTCCTTTGATATCTAAGAATGTGGCCATTACCGATTGGTTGTTCGTGAAGGATATCTGAATATCATTAGTTAATATTGCTAACGCTTCATTTGTAGACCGTCCCCGTCTGAATCCATATTGGAATCGAGGTAGAAGGTAATTTTTTTCTAGCCAATGTTCTAGACGATTCTTGATCAGTCGTTCGTATGTTTTTAGTGCGCATGACGCAAGTGCTATTGGCCTGTAAGAGTCTGCTTCTTCTAGGGGTTTTCCAGGTTTCCTTTGTGGGATGACGATGTATTCATACCAGTCCGATGGAATAGGTGCTTTTAATAACCATATGGTATTATATATTTCCAGTAGTTCTATTTTACTATTTTCAGGTAATTGAGCGAGCATAGAGTATGTGATATTGTCTTTCCCGGGGGCTGTATTATTATGTTGTTTTAATGCAATATTTAGTTCTGGGAGTGTAAATACCTTTAACAAGTGACTGCTGGAATCTATTACTGACGTGTCGAGATTGGTATTTTCATCGTTTATTTCTGTTGTTTTGTAATTTACCCAAGGAGGGGACAATTTGCAGTGGAAAGATTCTATCCAAATTGCTTCGCTATTTAATGGCATTCTGTTTTCTTTTTTTCTATTTTTATACTGATTTAATTTTGACCATACTTCTTTGATGGGAGTGTTCTTATTTAGGCTTCCGCAGTACTCCTTCCATTTTTGCCTTTTTGTTTCTTTCAGAGTTTTTTTAGCTAACGCGTCTAATCTTTTGTAGTTTGATAAATTTTGTAAATTCGGATTCTCATTATATATCTTGTATGCTTTTTTCCTATCTGTAACTTTATCGTGGCAATTTTCATTCCACCATGGTTTGTATGAATGTGTATTATTTTTCCTTGAGTGGTTAATTTTTGGGATTGATATACCTGCTGCCGTGTTTATATTTTCGATCATTTGATCGTAACTTCCTGCAAATGTTGTGTTCATATGGTTTTGGTACTTAATCCAATCAGCTTTGTCTGTTTTCCAACATTTATGGGTATTGTTTATAATATCATTATTCTGGCCTGAAAGTTGGTATTCTATTAATATCGGGAGATGATTGGATCCGTGAGGGTCGTTCATTACTCTCCATGAAAGAAGATGCACGATTTCAGGACTACATAACGTTATATCTATTGCGCTGTATCTATCCCCCGAATAATTTAGTAAGGTTGGAGTGCCGTCATTTAAATATACTAAGTTGCAGCGGTCCATAGAATCTAACAAAGTTTTCCCATATGCGTCTACGAATTCGCAGCCCCAAGCAACATGGTGTGCATTGAAATCGCCCGCTATTAAACATGGTCTTGGTATGCTACTGAAAAAGTTGATCCACTGTTGTAATGTAATTTTTGTTTGTGGTTTTATGTATAGAGATACTAGAGCTACTTCTTTATTATTTATTTTGACCGTGATTGCTTTGGATGGAATGAGAGTATTTTCGAGTATTGGAATTTCTTTGAAAAAAAATTGTGATTTTATGAGTATTGCTACTCCCCCCTTTCCATCTTCTCTATCATTCCTAATGGTGTTATATCCACGAAAGTTTACATAACAGTTTGGTTTAAACCATGTCTCTGACAGGAAGGCGATATCTATTTTATTATTTTGTAACAGATATTCTAAATTATATTTATTAGCCATGGCTGATCTACAGTTCCATTGACACAATTTCATATTTTTATTTAGGGCTGCGAATTTGTACACTCGTTAAATTGTAACCTCTCCGTAATTAAATTTCTTAACATAGTGTGTTGAATTTCATAATTATTGTTCTCTTTAATGTTATTAACTATATGGGTAACTAATTCTAATATAATATTTGTTAGTGAATCTTGAGCAGTGTATAATAGTTTTGATGAATTATTTATNCAGCGGTCCATAGAATCTAACAAAGTTTTCCCATATGCGTCTACGAATTCGCAGCCCCAAGCAACATGGTGTGCATTGAAATCGCCCGCTATTAAACATGGTCTTGGTATGCTACTGAAAAAGTTGATCCACTGTTGTAATGTAATTTTTGTTTGTGGTTTTATGTATAGAGATACTAGAGCTACTTCTTTATTATTTATTTTGACCGTGATTGCTTTGGATGGAATGAGAGTATTTTCGAGTATTGGAATTTCTTTGAAAAAAAATTGTGATTTTATGAGTATTGCTACTCCCCCCCACTATAAGAAATATGCTAAATAGTACTTTTAAATTTTGTGTTGATTTTGGCTATATTCAGTGGTCTGCAAATGACCTTGATTTAATTCATCTGAATACATTTTTGCGAGGCAATCTTAAAAACAAATTATATAAAATATAACCACTGAATGTTCAAAATATTCTTAATAAAATATAGTTAATAAATGGGAGACCATATCAAAAGTAATAAATATATTAAAACGTAAGTAGGTATAATTTATACATAGAACAAACTGAAGGACATTTTGAACCGAGGGGCGATCCGCTAAGGAAAAAACGTACGAAGATTACAAAATTTCTGAAATCTTTTGTAATGTATCTGCAGATTTCAATATCGATTAAAAAAAATACAAATTTCATATAAATAATCAAGATTACAATATCTTTCAACCGATTACAAAACATTTCAGGAGATTTCAGAATTATTTTAGTAGATTTCAATGATTATTTAAGATTTCAATAGGATTATTAGAAATTAAAAGATTTCAAAATTTCTTATTAAGATTTCAAGGAATACGGGAAGATTACAATAAGTTTTGAATGTCCATTTGAACAAAAATAATTGAATTAACTTCAACTCATTCATTTCATTCATTGACAGTAGTGCTTTGATTAAGAATTTCCAATATCATTTTTACGCAAAAATTGTAACATTCTGATTAAGTTTTTGTTCGAATGAACGTTAAAAACTTTTTGTCACGACAAAAATGATAACGCCATTTTGAAAGTAGGTAAGAACCTATATATTTTTATTGAAAGATAAAAATATAATAATCCAATAAACTAATAAAAATAAAAAAAATAAAAGTAACATAAAATAATTTTCCCAAAAAATAAATAATAAGAAATATATTAAGCTTTTATTAACACTTGCATTTAATACTTTACCTGTATACAGCGTATTTAAAAAAGACGCGGCAATATTTAAGGGGGTAATTTCCCAGGTCATTTTATAAAAAAAGTTCCTATAAACATACGTCCGCAAACGCTTCGTTACCGATCTACATAATGTTGAAATTTCATTAAAAAAAGTAAAAACTAAATTTCTCCAAAACCGCTTGATATTATAATGAAATTTTAGGCCTGTCAATAGCTATGGCAGACGCGTACTTTGCAATACAAAATGATTTTTTAGTCTTACCAGTGACGCGCGTATTGGCACGTCACTAGCTATTTTTAAAGAAAAAAATAGAACGCCGCTGGTTTTCCTAAAAATAAATTTTTTTAATTCCTTGTTCAATTATGAAGAAGAAAGCTTTCCTCAGATTATACACACCGTACGTCATACCGTTATTGAGTAAAAAAATAAAAAACATTTTATTGCGCACCTAAACCCAATGTTGTTTTAATTGAGAAATTTAAATTATTGAACAAAGAAATTGAAATTATCAAATTTGATTGATTTTTGAAATGTGGTACTGTTGTTTGTAGTATGTAATAATAAGGCGCTGCGTTTTGAAGAAATTTAATTTTTACTGTTTTTTAATGAAATTTCACATTCTGTAGATCGGTAACGAAGCGTTTGCGGACCTATGTTTATAGAACCTTTTTTTATAAACTGACCTGGACAATCACTCCCTTAAATATTGCCGCGTCTTTTTTAAAGACACTGTATAGGTACAAGTAAAGTATTAAATACAAGTATTAATAAAAGCTTAATATATAAAATACTTACCTACTTTCAAAATAGCATTATCATTTTTGTCATGACAAAAAGTTTTTAACGTTCATTCGAACAAAAACTAAATCAGAATGTTACAATTTTTGCGTAAAAATGATATTGGAAATTCTTAATCAAAGCACTACTGTTAATGAATGAAATGAATGAGTTGAAGTTAATTCAATTATTTTTGTTCAAATGGACATTCAAAACTTATTGTAATCTTCCCGTATTCCTTGAAAACTTATTAAGAAATTTTGAAATCTTTTAATTTCTAATAATCCTATTGAAATCTTAAGTAATCATTGAAATCTACTAAAATAACTCTGAAATCTCCTGAAATGTTTTGTATTCTGTTGAAAGATATTGTAATCTTGATTATTTATATGAAATTTGTAATCTTTTTTGAATTGATATTGAAATCTGCAGATACATTACAAGATATTTCAGAAATTTTGTAATCTTCGTATGTTTTTTCCTTGGCGGATTGCCCTTCGGAACACACCAATCACACCATATAGGTTTCTGTCGAGGTTTCTGTGGCATCCTTTGGAAAATGAGGTAGGGGGGCGTTGTATAACGACTACATCGACGAAATTCATTAGCTGATTACATAGATTACAGCGAGGATTACAGATAAGATTACGTAGATTACAGATAAAATTTCATAGATTTTAATTTCAAAGAGATTCTTAGATGATTACAAAATTTCAAAAAGATAATTATTAAAACGTCTCAATTACACGGAGATTGCAAAGATTTCAGAAACGATTACATAAAGATTCCAGGGCAAACGTAAGAAGATTACATCAGCGGATCGCCCCTCGTTTTTTATTTAATTTAATTTACATACTTTTTTGCATATTGAAAAGGAAGATGAGGTGAGAGTTGAAATATTCTCCGTATTTCATAAACGGTTAGACTAAATACCTATACAAGATATATTACGAAAATCAAGAACCAAGCAGATTTCAAAAGTCCAAAAACATTTAGAGTGTTATTAGAAGAAACAGAGTTATGTTTGCCATCCACGAGGCCATGCTTTTTAAGAACACCCTGTACAAAGTTTAATACTATATAATAATTTCTACTTGATGTCTACTACTTTTGTATTTAACATTTTTTATTACAATAACTCTGTTATATAAATTCATTTTTATCCTTTATCAATAGATACATCAGATATCTGCCTTTTGCCATGTAATGCCATAAATAACAAACTATACTCTCTCTTGTAACCAATAAAAAAAAATCAAGTTTAATTTAAAATAACTATGACAATCCCTCACTGCTCAAATGATGGTTAGCAAAATACAAAGTTACAATCATGGTACCCACGATGTAAAGAAATGGTTTTGATGGAGTTTTGTGTTAAGAGTAATTTTAATAGAATTAAGTACCTACTATACAATAATTATTTATTAAATTGGTCGTAGATAAAACATATCTAATAAATCTTATAATTTTTGGTCCTACTATCATTATAATATATATTGTAATATAATATTAATAACACCGGCTCACGAAATAAAAAAGTAGTCTGTACCTTTGATTTGACCCAATAGGACTGAATCCGAATCTAAAGTCCGTTTAGCTAAAACACCCCCAAAATTTTGAGTAATTGGCAAAAAATTGTGAAAAATCGTCGAAAAACATTTTAGTAAGCCCAAAAAAAATTCGAAAAAAATTTGTTCTGAACTTGGTCAAGTGGGTTTCTTATGTATACTGAATCCAAATCTAGTCTTTTAAACTGGATCCCCCAAATTTTCCAAAAATCATAAAAAATAGCGAAAAATCACGTTAGTGAGCGCAAAAAATTCGTAAAAACTTTTTCTGCCCGTGATCAAGTCTGAAGTCTATTAGCTGTATCCCCCCACAGATTCTGCAATAAAATAAAAAAAATAGTCGAAAATAGCAAAAAATCATATTAATGAGAGTGAAAAAATTTAGAAAAACATAAATTTTATCGAAGCGAATTTGAATTTATAGTTTGTAGAGCCTCATTACCCAAAAGTTTTCCAAAAATCGCAAAATATCGCAAAAAAAAATAGAAATCGTGAATCCCAAAAAATCTTGAATAAATAGCTTCGTTCGCGGAGCCGTTCAAACTAGTTGGGGATCAGTCAGAAGCAATCGTTTAACTACTTTTATGCTATGCTTGTTGTGGGAAATAGCACAGAAAGTGCTGGACGACTGCTTCTGCTGATCCCGAACTAATTTGAACAGCTCCGCGAACAAAGCTAACGTCATGGATATGAATTACTTCCAAATAAATTAGACTGAGTCGAACTAGGCTTTCTTTGATGTTGCTCTTAGACTTTTATTCTCTTGTAGTGAACTCTATTCTCTTCATATCAAGCTTGGTCTCATGAAGCATTTTTCAAAGCTCTGGACAAACCCGGTGACTGTTTTCAATATTTAGGAGAGAAGTTTCCAGCGATCAGCGATGCGAAATTGAAAGAAGGTATTTTTGATGGTCCTCGGATTCGTACTCTATTTCGAAACGAAGATTTCATTACAAGGATGAATGACACTGAAAGGCATCATGGGAAAGTTTCAAGAATATCTTTCGGAACTTTTTAGGAAATGAGAAGAGCCCCACTCTTCAAAAATTTGATTGAAGAGATGTTGAATAATTTCAAACAGGTTTGGTTAGGGTGCTTGATAAATTTTAAATTGCACTTCCTACAGTCTCACCTTGACTACTTTTCTCAAAACTTTGGAGACTACAGTGAAGAACAAGGAAAAAGATTCTATCAAGATATAAGTGAAATGGAGAATCGATACCAAGGAAGATGAGGTATCAACATGATGGCAGATTTCTGTTGGACACTAAAGAGAGAAACGAATCAGAATAGACAGAAGGGAAAGAGAAACCCGCTGCATAGGTTATTCGAAGAGAAAAGAGTTCGCTACAAGAGAAGAAAAGTGTAAGAACAACATCAAAGAAAGCCTGGCTCGAATCAGTTGAATCTATTTGGAAGTAATTCATATCCATGACATTTGTTCAGGATTTTTTGGGATTCACGATTTGCATTTTTTGCGATATTTTGCAATTTTTGCAAAAATTTTGGGTAATGAGGCTCAACAGACTTAAGATTTAAATTCAACTCGACAAAATATATATGTATATAAGAACACTTGATCCAATCTAGAAAACCTCCAAATTTTCTCCATTTTGCCATTTTTAGATATTATTTTACGTTTTTTTTTTTAAATCTGTAGCGTATAAAGTTAATTGACTTCAGACTCGAATTCAGCGTACCAAAATACGCCAAAACCCACTTGATCAAGGTCAGAAAAAAATGTTCCGACTTTTTTTTTGAGCTCACTAACGCGATTTTCGGCGATTTTTCACTATTTTTGCCAACTACTCAAAATTTTGGCGGCGTTTGAGCTAAACAGACTTCAGATTCGGATTCAGCACGTCAAAATACATTAAATCTTTTGTGGCAAATCAAAGTAACAGCCCACTTTATTTTGTGTACCTGTCTAATTGATCTACAGGATGTACATAAATGTATGCAGAAATTGAGGAAATTGAAAATTGAGGACAACCTTTCATGTAAAAGAATATCTGTGTCCCCTCCTTGCGGATTTATGGTTCTTCAAACAGTGAGATAACAATTTAGATTTTATGGTTTCCTTAAATATGGACAGTTACAAAAATAAAATTACATAAGTACACTTTTCCTACTATCGAAATGGCATTTACTTGATAATTTATTGATCTCCTTTAGTTACAAGAGGTAGAAGTAACCACCCCTACAAATTTACTTGCGCATGGGGTGCTACGGTGAGGCAGATGGGGGCGCATGCCTCCCTGGTTCATTTCACGAAGGAAAAAATATTAAAAAAAGATGTTGAGCCGGTAAGAATTAATTATTTGAAAACCTCACTACAATTAAATAATAAAAAATATTTTTTTAAAAATAATAATAACTGATAAGCAAAAAATTATAAATTTAATGTAACATAAAATAATTTAATTTATTAAAGTTGAGTAAACATGGTAATTTTATCCATGTGCTTTCTTTGTCACATTCCCAGACATAAATATAAATTTTCGTTTTGCCTGTCTGCCCTTGTGGTTGTTTACTTTTTTTTATCGTCCATGTGGTCATTTAATAATCTGTTTTGTACTTGATTTTATATAACTGAATTTATTTGAAAGAAATTTAACTTCTTTAATTTGTTTCTTAAATGTAACAGTTTTTGCGCAAAAAAATATTACGCACATGACATGGCATTAATAACATGATTACCATTACTTTTGAGTGCTTTTTTGTGTAAATTTGATTAATTTCTTAATGTGCAGGAGGCGTGGGGGGGGGGGAGTTGGAGTTTTTTTTACATGAAGGAAGAAGAATCACCGTCTTAATTTATTTACTTGTTTAGTTATATCCTGCACCACATGCCAACATTTAAAGAAAATAACAGTATTTTTGTAAAATTTGCACATTGCACATTGCAAACAGTACAGGCGCGATTGCAAAAACTGCACTCAGTTGCGAACAATTATATAAGTACTTACCTACATTTGCACTATCATGTACACCAAAATTACTACCTCTCGGTTTCAAGCCGCCCCTACAGTGGGAAATATGGGAAAAAATTCTACACACTCGGCTATTTTAACCGTATAGTGGTAATTTTTTTCTTTATTCCTCTTCAAATTAATATGCTTCATTTTATCATCCTGGTAACCTGGTGCGATGATAATGTGATGTATCTATACCTATATGTAGAAACTTTTTAAAACGTAAGAACCCATCAGCTTGAACATCAAAGATAATAATTCGGTATTTAAAAATAAATGAAAATTTTTGTAACATTGAATAAAAATTACTAGAAAAAACAAAAAAAAAACAAAAAGAAAAAATAGAAATAAAAAACAAAAATAAAAAAACAAGAAAAACAATCATTTTAAAGACTATTACCTTGACGCGGTAAAAGGGCTAAAGTCTTATATCAATAGAGATAATGAAATGCTGTAAATAATACAGATTTTGAATCTCAGTTTTTAGCAGAAGTTGTTGAAACTTTTATAATTTATAGAATGAAATTTTATCTATCTATCTAAATATCCCCTTATTTCTTGTCATTTAAGAAGAAGTTTCAAGGGTTTGAGGTTAGGTTTATATGGACATAGTATAGGTTTGAGGTTTTAGAAATACAAAACATTAGTTCCAGAATATAGTTTTCAAAAAGTCACATTTTTTGGTTTGGAAAATATTCTTTGTTTGACTTTGTAAATGAAATTTCTTGGATTTAGCTGTTATTTTTATTCGAGCAAATGGCAAATGAAAATCCATATTTTGTCGCGTATTGTATCTATGATAAGAACTACTTAACATAAACTTGCTCCTATTATGAAACACGTACAGACACAATTCGAATATAAATAAACAGGGCAAAGTTAAAATTCTTAAGCTTTTAAATATTTCCCTGCATGAATAATATCTAGGAACTCCCATTANTTCAGTGTAACTCAGTCTATACACGATTATAGATTCTACCGATGTGCATGGCGAGCGGCACAAAGATAAATAATATTGAACCGTATAGAAATCATTTTATACATATTTTATAGGCATTATGGTAATAGTGTTTTTATATTATGTATTAGTCACTCTTTATAATTTCTGCCGCCGAGTATAGATCAGAATCACTTTGTTTTGATTTTTTTTTCATAATAAATTTTTTACCCGATTTTGTATGGTACTGTACAATACTTACAATTAGTAAAATCGCATATTTATGTAATCTATGTACATATTATTTAATACATACATAATATAATATGTAAAATGAATTAAAATTAATAAAGTAAGGTTAACTTTCTTACCATTTGTAATTAAAATATTCCAGAAACTACAATAATTAGAAATATATAAAAGTAAAGGAGTAGATAAATAAATTCTTATTTGAAAAAGAAGAAAGGTTTATATAGTTATCATTTCATCGTTCTTGAAGAATATTTGCAGTGTTAAGTGAATTTTAAATAGGTAATTAAATACCTATTGTAGTGACAACTTGCATGACTGGACAGTTTTGATATACCTTATACCAATTAGTTTTTTACAAAATGACTGAAATAAAAAAGGTAAAATATTGTATATAAATCCATTTTAAATGTTCTAATTCAAATTCAACTTTAGCAAACTAGAAAAAATGAAAGCATATGCAATAAATTCAAAACAGTGCTTTTATTTATTTCATACTATATTAATATATTCATTGACAAAATATTTGGCTATTTCTACAACTCGAGACGTATTCAGATACATAAATGTACAAATCCTATTATTCTGTCGAGTGCTGTGTCCGTGGCACGAAGAATAAGAAAAGGTGAATTGAAATCAGAGGAAGTTGTTCAAGCATTTATTAATAGAATACAAGAAGTAAATCCTATTTTAAATGCTGTTGTTGATGACCGATTTGAAGAGGCATTGGAAGAAGCTAGAAAAATAGACAAAGATATTCAAATTGGTAATATACTTGATGTGGATTTTCAAGAAAAACCTTTTCTGGGTAAATATATAATTATTGTACCGAAAAAAATGCAGAATATCTTTTCAAGTATCTCCTACGATATACATTATTATTTTTGAAATATTTTGAAGAATGCTTTGTTTTTTAAAATACTTTGTATCCATGATTATTTATTAATTCATATATTAATTTAAGGTGTACCGTTTACAACAAAAGAATCAACTGCTGTTAAGGGATTATCATATACTTTTGGGTTAATTAGGCGAAAAAATAGAAAGGCATTATTTGATGCAGATTATGTTACTCTAATGAAAGAAGCTGGAGGTATATGCCTAGGTAAGAAGTAGACAAATTAGGAAGCTAATTTATAAATTGAATGAAAACTGACATTTTGGAGAAAACATTAGATCTCTTTTAAGCTAAAATTTCATAACTGATAATAAACAGACTTCCCTACTACAACCGGAACACCCCTCTAAAAATATTTTTAATATATTGCTATACAGCGTGTCTCACCACAAACTCCATCGATGGATATCTGGGAAATCGCTCGGATTTTTTTGAAATTGTGGTGAAATACTTTCAAGGTCATCATACTTCCGGTTAGACTGGAAGTTGATACCAACTTTCTTATTTAAATTGGAACCCCCTGTATATTACTAGATTTTTGGAAAAAGCATTTATTTTAAGTTGAAGACATAGCACACTCCATACTTAGGATTAACCGTTTCCGAGATATTTTGAATTTTAGGCAAAAATTGACAGATGCAGACTGTCAGCCAAATTTAGTTTTCCCGGAAATACAGGTTTATTTTTTGTGCAAAGTAGACGTTTTGTAGAGGAAGATCTAATTTATCGGATTTTACATGAAAATTTTCCAATTTTTATACAAGGTGGCCAAAAAATATGATTGAATATAAAGTTCAGAAAATGAGGAAAGCTCGAAATTTTTAAATGGAAGCCCCCAATTTTTTTTAACATATTCGCATTCTGCACTAAAATTGAGTGTAACTTTCTTAAAGTTTTCCTATACCTAAATCCAGTTGTTTTAATTTTATTTACAAATAAATATTTCCCTTTTCGCACATTTTAGGTTGGCCGTGATAGGTAAGTAACAATCAACATGACAACTGTCATAGGTTTTTAATTGTCAAATTTATTTTAGTAAATGTTCAAAATATCTTCTATCAACTTCTAAACATTTCTCACACCTTCGGATTAGTTCCTTGTGGGTCGCTGCTCTAAGAGAGTCCGGTGATAGATGCTTAAATGCTTGCCTTGCTCTATGCATACAATTTTGCTTTGTTGTTACTGGACTACTATACACACTATTTTTTAGTCTTCCAAATAAAAGATCTATCATTGCTATATGTTTTCAAGTTAAAAATAAATGCTCTTTCAAAAAATGCAATAATATACAAGGGGTGCCATTTAAAATAAGAAAGTTAGTGACTTCCGGTATAAGCGGAAGTACGATGATCTTGAAAATATTTTAGTTTGTTAGGCCCCCGGCTTGTATCACACCGTCACAATTTCATGGTGAGACACCCTGTATATTACATATATTATCATAATTTATTAATTACTAAATACTGCTAGTTATTTCATATGATTATTAGATAACTAATTGAAAATAGAATATTTTTTTTAAATCCAGACATTTTGCAATCATCGTTGATGCAGTATAATACAAGAATCGAGAACTGAAAAGTCAATACAGTTCCAAGATAAAACTACATTTCAAGATCAAGAAAATTCAAAAGATGGCTTCAAAAGTCAGTAGTTATTGGATAGAGTCGACTTCAATTTTCGACGAAGGATAAATTTATAGAGAAAACAGTGGTCATTTTAAACAATTTCTATAATTATGCAAATTGTATGTTATTTCTGTTGCTTAAGTTGTTTGGTTTTCTATTAAATTATTCTTATTGCAACTTTTTTCCTGATCATCAAGCTTGGCCTTTAAATCCATAGCCAACTTTTGAATTTTCGATGGTTTTAAATAACAGCTACAATACGTATTATTAGTTATTCGTGTTTTTGTTGCAACGACAAAGTTTTTTGAGAACTAACAAGAGTAAGAAAAGTTTTAGAATTAAATTCCTCATAAAATAAATAATAATTTTTAGTCCTCCAACGGGTTAAAAAATTCTGTCACATTTTAATGGTGCCATCATCCCTTATCAACCCTTTAAAATGTTTCAATTTAACTCTACTTACTGTCGATTAATGCTCTTGGTACACTCACACCGTGTACCAAAGAGTGACCGCAAAAATCGCCTGTTTTTTCACAATTCGCAGAGAACTAAAGAAAATAGATAAAAATATGTTTTTGGTCTCAAATTATTCGTCGTAAAAAATTAAGATGAGCATAGCTTTTAGTTTTTTGAAAATTTTTAAAAATCACCCCTATTTAAAGGTTGAAAAGACTCCCAAAATGAAGAATTGAATATTACCAATAAATATTATAATAATAATAATAATAATAATAATAATAATAATAATAATAATAATAATAATAACT